CCAGCCCAACCAGCCCAACCAGCCCAACCAACCCAACCAGCCCAACCAACCCAACCAACCCGACCAACCCAACCAACCTAACCACCCTAACCAACCTAACCACCCTAACCACCCTAACCAGACGAACCAGCCCAACCAACATGACCAGCCTAACCAGCTCGGCATAACCAACCCTGCCTAAGCAGCCCTACTTATGCAGCCCTGCATGCACAATGCCCCCATCTCACCTTGGCCAGGCGGTGTCGGGAGAGAGCCACGACCACAAAAATGCTGCGCGCATAACCCCTCACACATACACCCCTCACACATACACCCCTCACACATACACCCCTCACACATACACCCCTCACACATACACCCCTCACACATACACCCCTCACACATACACCCCTCACACATACACCCCTCACACATACACCCCTCACACATACACCCCTCACACAACCACCCCTCACACATACACCCCTCACACAATCACCCCTCACACATACACCCCTCACACATACACCCCTCACACAACCACCCCTCACACATACACCCCTCACAAAAACACCCCTCACACATACACCCCTCACACATACTTCCCTCACAAAATCACCCCTCACACATGCACCCCTCACACAATCACCCCTCACACATGCACCCCTCACACACACTCCCCTCACACAATCACCCCTCACACATGCACCCCTCATTCATACTTCCCTCACAAAATCACCCCTGGCACATACACCCCTCACAAAATCACAACTCGCATATGCACCCCTCACACAAACACCCCTCACACATACACCCTACCCTCACCACCACCTCTCCTTGCCCATCTCACCTTGGCGAGGCGTCGTCGTGAGAAAGCCACAACCTCGGGGCGAGCATCTGACAGCATATGGCGGCATCTGATTGGATGGACGAGCGGGAAGTGTCAACACCTCCTACAGGGACAGGACGGGAAATGGGTGGGGTGGGGGCATAGGGTGTTAAGAACATAAACATTGAGTTGAATAGTGCGTATGGGTGGGGAGAGCATCTCAATGAACTCCAAAGAACTGCACGCCCAAGTGATGATGCGAATTGAAACAAATGTCTCGCATGCAGGGTGTTTTTGAGAATTCTCAAAAACACCCTGCAGCATAATGTCTCGCATCATCACCCCCACACCCTCCTCTCCTGCGCCGTTCCTCCCGCCTTCCACCCCACCACCACCCCTTCTCCCCTCCCAAACACTCACCTGTCCCCTCCACTTAAGGTGCAAGCACCACACACCTGTGCACAATCGTAACAATCATGATAGCCCTTATCCATTCTCCCACCTCTCATCACCCCTCTCCCTCTCTCACCACTCCTCCTCCACGGCGCTCAGCTTGGGAAATTCAACTTGAGAGGCGCACCTGATGGGCGCACCTGATGGGCGCACCTGATGGGCGCACCTGATGGGCGCACCTGATGGGCGCACCTGATGGGCGCACCTGATGGGCGCACCTGATGGGCGCACCTGATGGGCGCACCTGATGGGCGCACCTGATGGGCGCACCTGGGGTGAGGAGGTAGAGGCCAAGGGGGCTGTCAGGAACATGAGATGGTCAAGGCAAGACGCATGCCACACAGCATGCTGCATGCCTCCACGCCAATGTAAGTGGTCAGCTTCTTGCCCTCTCTTCTCCTCCCTTCACCTGTCGTTCCTTCTCCTCCCCTTCCTTCCCCTCCCCTGCTTGCCCCTTCTCCCATCCAATCTCTCCGTCCTTTCTCCTCTCTGACATTCGCCTACCCACTCGTCTCCATCCACCTGCCTCTCCTCCACCCTCCCCTTCACTCCCTGCCCCTCCTCCCGCCCGTCCTCACCCCTCCGCCAGCCCCGTCTCCCCTCCTCCGCCCTCCTGCTCCGTCCCCTGCTCCCCCTTCTCCCACCCCTCGCCTCATTTCCGCCAAATCCAAGCCACGCGCGCCTGTATCCTCACTTCCCCCTCCCCCCCCTGCGCCTCCCCTCCCCACTCCGCCTCCCCTTCCCCCTCCGCGCCGCCGCCCGTCGCCGCTGCCCTAATAAGCGCTTCCCGTTCCAGCGGCGTGCAAACTGATTTCCGTAAATTCTCGCGTAGGCGGCGGTACAGGCGCACGCAGCGGGAGCCAGGGAGACTCTGCTGTAGACTCTGCTGTTTCCGCCGCTCTCGCGTAGGCGGCGGTACAGGCGCGCGCAGCGGAGGCGCGCGCAGCGGGAATTACAGCGGTAGCGGTGATGGTGGCGCTGGTGGCAGGGGCGGTTAGGAAGAGATCCAGGCGGAGCGCGACCGGCAGGGGCTTCCACCGCCTCTCCGCTCCGCCGCTTCGGCCTGTGCTGCTCGCAGCAACTCTGCTGTTTCCGCCGCTCCCGCTGCCTCTGCTATTGGCGCCGCCAGGAGCCCGGGTGCTTGCCCCATCCGACATTTATGCTGCTCCTCGCGCTTCTGCCTTCGCTGCTTTCCGCCATCGCAAATGGGTTCTCCATTCTTTCTCTCTCTCTCTCCTTGTATACGGTCGCTTCCTCGTCGTCGGCAGTCACTGATTCGTCGTCGTCCGTCGCTCTCTAATAGCATGTCTGTCGTTTTGATGCGATGATTATTGAGCCAGTGACAGGTCACTTTTGCCCTTCCAGCTCTTGCTCGCACTCGCCTGCGCATGCGTGCTTGCCCCACCCGCCATTGCCGCTGCTCCTCGCGCCTCTGCCGTTGCGGCCCTCTCCGCCATCGCGAATTTGTTCTTCTCACTCTCATTGTCTACAGTCGCTGCCTCGTCGCGGTCCGTCACAACTCTCGTCGCTCGTCGATGCGACCACTATCTAGCCACTATCTGACGTCAGTTGGTTATATGTCGTCGGATTTACACAATCAGGTGTGTTATCCAAGCACCTCATCCAATGCACATAAGATAATTCTCAAAGTCTACCACTTTCCCAGTATTTTCATAACCATTGCTCGTATAGAATGTTTATTTCTGTAGAGCAGAACTCCTTATTGAAATGACACAACGGGCTCAAAGGCATTCGTCGGGAAAATCTGGCGCATCGTGTCCGCGTCGCGCAAAGGCATTTGAATCGCAATGTGCGGTTCGATTTTTGCAATTTCGTTTCAATGCAAGCACCCCCTACACCTTCCTCCCCCGCCCCTTTCCCATCTCCCCCTTCCCTCCCAAGTCCATCATCACGACTGAATTCCACGTCGCTCTCCTCACCTCACCTCTTCCCACGTTCCAGACCTGTCCGAACAAGCAACCCCACCCCGCTGCTTTCGATTCGCACGCACATCCCCGTACATAATCCACCTCCTAACACCGACCAAAACTACTCCACCAGACTTACCTTATCACCAACCAGCGGCTAGACCTCACCGACCACCAGCTATAGTTACGTTATCACGATGTACGCGCCGGCTACGCAGATGTACCACGGGTCCTATAAATGCCAGGGCGTGAGGCTTCAGATGTATCAGACAAGACATATTACCCAGACTTGTTATAAATTCATTCCGCAATCTCCTTACAATCTCTTCCTCTCCACGGCACCACCCCCGTTGATCTTTGAGAATTCTCAAGAATCGCAGTCGCTGCAGCCATGAGGCGTTCCAAGGTTTTCTTCGCCCTGCTCGCGCTCTCGCTGCTCGTATCCCTCGCGCTGGCGCCGCAGTGCCGCGCGAATGAGATCGCCGCGGACAATGACGACGCCGACGATGACTTGGACGCCGCCATTTCCGCAGACGCGTCGCCTCCTGGTGCGTGTGGTACCACGTTGCGCTCGGAAACGCCATGCGCTCCCCTCCGACCCTCCCCTGCTTTGCCTTGATGTAACAGATCACACTGAACCTCAGACGCGACGTTTTTGATTGAATTCGTTCGTTCCATGCCTTCCCTGTTTCCAGGTCTCGTGGATGCGTTATACCGAGTGAGCCGGCGGTTCCTGTATTCGCCGCGCATGCTGTCGTGCCGGTCTGACTGCGAGGACAAGAACAAGAAGTGCAACACTGATTACAGCGAGTGCAAGCGCGAGAACAAGGACGACAAGCATGACCACCACAAGTGCACGCACACTTACAAGAAGTGCAAGAAGAAGATCAAGAAGTGCCGCCGCAAGTGCGACTAAGTAGAAGACACAGAAAGTTGCAACGACTAGGACACTGGTAGAAGTTTTTTATTGAAAGTATTATCTGCCCAACTGGGGATGTTCTAGCGGGTGATTTCGTTCCAACAGTAATCCCAGAGCTAAGCCATTGTCAGGAGTTTGTACCTCTTCACCACGTCTCACACTGAACACGCCTCTGCTGCCCAAGAGTACTCAAGCCCACACCACCAGGAGGTCGTGAGCACAGGAAAAACTTGACATACACACACACCCCAACTGTGATTATGAGCAGCACACACTCTAGCCGACCCTCCTATCCTGGACAATGCAGCTGATTCTAGCAGCAGGCTGCTGGCAGTAGCACATTAGGACAAAAATCATCAGCTTCTCCTGAGTTTCTCCGATAGCCCTTCTGGTTGACCCCCTGTGCGATACTTCTCCCCTGCATGGTGCCATAACACCACCCGTAGGTTACTGCCTGCTGCTCAGTCGCTCTGTATAACTCTGAACCCGTACGAACCGGTCCTGCATATGGCACAACTAGGATTCCTTATGCACAACAATGCTATTGCTGTATAGTGTATTATGTCGGCATGCTGTGTAAAGTATCACAGAGATGTCAAGCGAACAATCTTCTGTTATGTACGACATTGAAAGAGTAAAATCCTCTTCCCGCATTTATGCTGGCTTTGAGATAGCATGTAACAACAACAGCCAGCTTTCAATCGAACTACCTTGCTTTAGATCCTGGGAAAAGAATTGAAACAATCCTGTACTCCAAAACACCCGCAGCTACTGTAACCTGTACCAAACTGTACTAAATCGCATTTGGAAAACAACAATCACATCAGCACCACCACCACCAGCACCATCAGCACCAGCAGCCCCATGAAGCAGCAAAAGCGGCAGAAACAGCCTAGGAGCTGAGCTCCTTGGCGAGCTTCTCTGCCTTGGCCACCACCACCACCTCCTCGATGCCTCCCACCCTGTAGAACGCCTGTCCCTGCTCAGGGAGATCATCGTACTTGCCGTCCAACACACCCTGTGAGGGGGATAGGGTGGTGTAGGGGGTTGTGCGAGTGTGCAGAGAAGAGACAGGATAAGGGGAGAAGGGTAAACGGCCAGCCAGTAAACACCTCAGCCATGTAAACGGGCTGCCTCACAACCGTTCACATGAAAGTGAAATCAAGTGACAGCAGCAAGATTCGAACTCAAGACCTCAACCGCCACCCACCTCGAAGCTGGTGATGCTCTCATTCACATCGGCGTATTTGACCGCTGAGGCAATGAAGACCTCAGCCACGTGGAAGGGCTGGCTCAGGAAGCCATGCCCCCTGCTGCCACGCCCCTTCACATGACTGTGCAATCAAGTGACAGCAGCAGGAATTGAACCCGAGACCTCACCTGGAAGCAGGTTTGCCCGGCAAGCCAGTGAAGACCTCAGCCACATGGAATGGCTGGGTCAGGAAGCGCTGGATCTTGCGCGCACAGGCCACACCAGCTTGTCGTCCTCACTGAGCTCGTCCATTCCCAGAATGGCAATGATATCCTGAAATAGAAAGAGCAGAGAAGGATGGTATCAGTGGGGGCAGAGATGTGGAAGGGCTGGCTCAGGAAGTGCTGAACCATGCGAGCGCGGGCCACCACCAGCTTGTCGTCTTTGCTCAGCTCGTCCACTCCCAGAATGGCAATGATATCCTGAAATAGAAAGAGCAGAGAAGGATGGTATCAGTGGGGGCAGAGATGTGGAAGGGCTGGCTCAGGAAGTGCTGAACCATGCGAGCGCGGGCCACCACCAGCTTGTCGTCTTTGCTCAGCTCGTCCACTCCCAGAATGGCAATGATATCCTGAAATAGAAAGAGCAGAGAAGGATGGTATCAGTGGGGGCAGAGATGTGGAAGGGCTGGCTCAGGAAGTGCTGAACCATGCGAGCGCGGGCCACCACCAGCTTGTCGTCTTCGCTCAGCTCGTCCATTCCCAGAATGGCAATGATACCCTGAAATAGAAAGAGGAGTGGAGGAGATAATGTTACAAAAAGGATGGGAAATTTGCCCAAGGATGGGAAGTTTGCCCAAGGATGGGGGGCATAGAGTGCTCGTGAGGCATTTCATGCTCTATCAATAAAAACGCACTAAGGATGACTTGAGCCATAGCGTGGGAACAGTCTCTCCTGCAGCTTCTTGTAGTCCTGAAGCACCTCCTGCACGCCAAGAGTAGGTGGTGGAGGAACCCCTTCCAACCCCTTCCAACCCCTTCCGACCCCTTCCGACCCCTTCCGACCCCTTCCGACCCCTTCCAACCCCTTCCGACCCCTTCCGACCCCTTCCGAACCCTTCCGACCCCTTCCATCCCCTCCACATACCCCACTCACAGCAGGAAAGCGGTCAAACCTGCAGGTTCTTGTAGTGCTCCATGCCCAGGATAGACGGAGAGAGCATGCGCGAGGAGGAATCCAGAGGGCCCACCACAGCAGGGTAGATACCCAACTCGGAGATCTGCAGAGTGACTGGGTGGGGGAGGATGGGAGACAAAGGAAGGGTATTCTGTGCTCCATGCCCAGGACGGACGGGGAGAGCATGCGCGAGGAGGAGTCAAGGGGAACCACAGCGGGGTGGATACCCAACTCGGAGATGTGCAGTGGCAAGAAGCAGAGGGGGACAAAGGAATAGGAAAGAAAAATGAGTGCTCCATGCCCAGGATGGACGGGGAGAGCATGCGCTATGTGGAGCAGGGTGGATACCCAACTCGGAGATCTGCAGATTGTTTGAATTGTGGGCAAAGGGAAGGGAGAGGGAGCGAGTGGGAAAATGAGAGGGAGGGGGTGGGAAAATGAGAGGGAGCGTGGGAAGTTAAGAGGGTAGGAAGATGAGGGAGAGGGCGGAAGGTTGAGTGGGAGAGGGTGGATGGAAGGTTGAGTGGGAGAGGGCGGAAGGTTAAGTGGGAGAGGGTGGAAGATTGAGTGGGAGTGGGTGGAAGATGAGAGGGACGGAGTGGGACGACGAGAGGGAGGGAGTGGGACGAAGAGAGGGTGATGGTGGGAGGGTGGGAGGGTGTGAGAGCAGCTATGGCAAAGTGGACAAAAGTGGGACTGCAAGACCAAAGCGGGCGGAGAGACAGGCAAGTGGATGGCCTGCACTGACGTGACGAAGCCCTTCTTGGTGACGTGATTCCCTCCCTTTGAACCCCTCCCACCCTCCCGTCCAACCACCCAGCCACTAGAAGCTTACAGCACACACACTGGCTCACCTGACGAGACAGCACAGTGGTAGCGTCCAAATGCGCGAAGGTGGTAGCGTCCAAATGCGCGACGGTGGTAGCGTCCAAATGCGCGACGGTGGTAGCGTCCAAATGCGCGACGGTGGTAGCGTCCAAATGCGCGACGGTGGTAGCGTCCAAATGCGCGACGGTGGTAGCAGGGGCGGGATCCGTGAGAGTATCAGCAGGCACGTAAATCGCCTGCACTGACGTGATGGAGCCCTTCTTGGGCCTCCTATTCAGCCGCCCCTTCACATCCTTGACCTTTTCTCCCCACCTTTCCACGCTCAACAAAGACGATTTCTTTCCTCACCTGGCGAGACAGCACAGTGGTGGCGTGGCGTCCAGATGCGCGATCGTGGTAGCAGGAGCAGGATCCGTCAAGTCATCAGCAGGCACGTAGATGGCCTGCACTGACGTAATAGAACCCTTCTTGGAGGTGGGAATGAGTCTCACCGTCGCAACTCACCTGGCCTGCCATCAGCTCCCCCCACTGACCCTCGCAACCATTCCAACGCCACTTGCAGCGACATACAGCAATTCCAACCTGGGCAAAACTCAAGTTCCTTTGTCCTACCGTCGAGGCCGAGTGACTCGAGATCATCCTCCCCGCCCCCGGCCCCGACCACCGTCGTCACCGATTCTCACCTTGGCGATCTCCAGCTGTCAACTGCCCCCCGGCCCTGGCTGCTTCTCAACCACCCCCGATGGAGTCTGACCTGCCATTGACCTGCCATTGACCTGCCATTGACCTGCCACTGACCTGCCACTGACCTGCCACTGACCTGCCATTGACCTGCCACTGACCTGCCACTGACCTGCCACTGACCTGCCATTGACCTGCCATTGACCTGCCATTGACCTGCCATTGACCTGCCATTGACCTGCCATTGACCTGCCATTGACCTGCCATTGCCTGCCATTGTCCTGCCATGACCTGCCATTGACCTGCCACTGACCTGCCATTGACCTGCCACTGACCTGCCATTGACCTGCCACTGACCTGCCATTGACCTGCCACTGACCTGCCATTGGCTTGCCGATTGACCTGCCATTGACCTGCCACTGACCTGCCACTAACCTGCCATTGACCTGCAACTGACCTGCCATTGACCTGCCATTGACCTGCCATTGACCTGCCATTGACCTGCCATTGACCTGCCATTGACCTGCCATTGACCTGCCATTGACCTGCCATTGACCTGCCATTGACCTGCCACTGACCCGCAGGTTTCCCAGGTAGTCAGTGCGCATGGCAGGCCAATGGCAGGCCAATGGCAGGTCAATGGCAGGTCAATGGCAGGCCAATGGCAGGTCAATGGCAGGTCAGTGGCAGGTCAATGGCAGGTCAATGGCAGGTCAATGGCAGGTCAATGGCAGGTCAGTGGCAGGTCAATGGCAGGTCAATGGCAGGTCAATGGCAGGTCAATGGCAGGTCAATGGCAGGTCAGTGGCAGGTCAATGGCAGGTCAGTGGCAGGTCAATGGCAGGTCAGTGGCAGGTCAATGGCAGGTCAATGGCAGGTCAATGGCAGGTCAGTGGCAGGTCAATGGCAGGTCAATGGCAGGTCAATGGCAGGTCAATGGCAGGTCAATGGCAGGTCAATGGCAGGTCAATGGCAGGTCAATGGCAGGTCAATGGCAGGTCAATGGCAGGTCAATGGCAGGCCAATGGCAGCACCCTGGGGGCGTCCGTGTCTGGGTTGGATGGGTGCGAGAAGGGGAAGGCATGGGCGGAAAGAAAGGTTGAGCCAGGGATTGAACTCCCTTAGGTCGACACCTAGTTGCCGATTGTTACCTTAGGAGGCTAGTCCCCTAGAACACCGCCTGCCTAGCAACTCATCACCTTGCTGTACCCTTGTTTTATCAATACAATGACCGCTTGAGATGGAAAGGGCGTGGGGAGGTGAGCAGTGTGGCAGTGCCGTAAGACACCGTAAGGGACTGAGACCATGAAACAAATGGCGGGAGACAGTTTCAGGTGCAGAGCTGGGGGTGGAGTAGGGGGGTGGAGTATGGCGGAGGAGTAGTAGCGGGCGAGGGAGTTGGCAGAGGGAGGGAGCAGGGACGGAGGCAAGGGAGCAACAGCATGGTAGGAATGGTAGCATGGGGGCTCAGACGCGCAGGCGGCAAGTGATTGTAGTAAGGACAACTCGGAGTACATGAGAGTACCGCCAGGCATGTAGGGGACACGTGGGGATGTAGGAGGCGCACACACGCAGCTGGGAGGCAATCATGACGTTTCCGGCAATGGCGCCTCTGGTGGTGGTGCAGCGGCGGTGGTGCAGCGGCGGTGGTGCAGCAGCGGGTGCGTGGCATTATCCTGGCGAGGCACCATTGTCGTCAAGAATGGGCATGGCAGGCGTTTCAGGGCCTGGCGTTTCAGAGCAAGCACGGCCCCACTGCCGTCACAAATCACCAGGATCCCCATGCTTGAAGAGTCAAGGCAAGAGTGACAGGAAGCCACTGAAGAGTCAAGCCAAGAGTGACAGGAATCCGAGTGACAGGAAGCCAATTCCCCACCTCAGCCTCTAGTCACCTTCGCTACACGGCACCGGAACATAATCACGAGCACGGGAATGCTGCATACACTCCTTCCTCCACCAGAGTCAGCACCGCTCACCCCGCACGCACAGACCACCCCCACTTCCCCCTTAGTTTTTGTTAGTACCTGACAGAAGAACCAGCATCTATAGCCCACACACTTCTTCGCCCACCCGCCTTCTTCTTCATAGCCTGGTCACATTGCACGGAATTACCTTTACCCAGCCACTTCTGAAACTTCTGAGAAGAAACTTCATCTTTCCCAACCTTCCCAAATGTAAGTGGGGAATGAATGAGGGCGCCACCTTAACCAGCACCCCTATATCCACCTCCTCACCTGCAGTCACGAGAAGCAGTCAGCAGCCTGACCCACCCAGCCAGCCATATCACAAACCGGCGAGGCGGCGCTGGGAGAGAGGCACGGCCGCTGCAATGCTGCGTGCAGTATTCCCCTTGGATAAATCCAACAGCCCGCCTTAGTGTGAGATACCTGAGAGGCAATAAACCCACATTACCGTGTGGCACCAATAACCCCCCTCGGCCCCTAGTCACCTTGATCTGTCCTGCAGTCACCTTTACCTCCTGCAGTTGCATTGACCTGTCCTGCAGTCGCCTTGACCTGTCCTGCAGTCGCCTTGACCTGTCCTGGAGTCGCCTTGACCTGTCCTGCAGTCGCCTTGACCTGTCCTGCAGTCGCCTTGACCTGTCCTGGAGTCGCCTTGACCTGTCCTGCAGTCGCCTTGACCTGTCCTGGAGTCGCCTTGACCTGTCCTGCAGTCGCCTTGACCTGTCCTGGAGTCGCCTTGGCAAGGTGGCGCCTGGAGAGAGTAACGAACATGGCTACGCGGCGCGTATTACCCTTCATCTTACCGCGTGTTACCTGACAGAACCGAATTCCCACCACATTCAACACCGGCACTCACCTTGGCGAGGCAGCGTGCATGGATGGGTTGGGTTGAGTTGGGTTGGGGTAACTGGGAACGCTGCGTGCGGCGCTTTTGAGATTGGAGTGCGTGCAGTGCAGCACCAGCGCCAGCCGATGGGATAGCGGTAGTTTGAACGTCGAATGCTGCGTACGGGAGAAGGAGAACATGCTCTGCCAACTCCAAAAGTGTCTCGCATAATCATCCCCGCACCCTCCTCTCCCCCCACCCTCTACCCATCCCGCTTTCCCCACGCCTGGCCTCGGGACCTCCTCCACATTCGTTTCCTATCCGTCTGCCTCCCATGCATCCCCCTCTCGTCCACTCTCTACTCCCCCACCCTCGCCTCTCCCCTCCACTCAGCTTCCACCTCTCCTTTCGCCCTACCCTCCACCATGCAGCTTCCACCTCTCCTTTCGCAATGCTTCTCTCTTTCCCCTTACCCTCCATCCCACACTCCCCTCATCCCACATTCTCTTGATCCCACGCTACCCTCTCCCACCTCTGAGCCCTCCCTCGTTTCTCCTCTCCCTGGCCCCACCCTCCCCCGTCCTGCTCCGCCCTCTGCTCCCCCTTCTCCCACCCCTCGCTTCGTTTCCGCCAAACCCGCATCCCCCCTTCTTCCTCCCCTTCCTGCGACTCCACTCCCCAGTCCGCCTCCCCTTCCCCTTCCGCACGGCCGTCCGTCACTGCTGCCCCAATCTGCGCTCCCCCTGCCACTGGCCCACAAACCCATTTCCGCGGACACTCGCGGAGGCGGCGGTAGAGGCGTGCGCGCAGCAGGAATGGCGGCGGACGCGGTGGCGGTAGCGCCGGCGGCTGGGACGGCGGTAAGGAATTGGTCCAGGCGGAGTGCGACCGGCGCTGCCACTGCCGCCGCCGCTCCGACATGATGTGCTGTGCTGCTCGCAGCGACGCTGCTGTTTCCGCCGCTGCCGCCTCTGTTGCCATCGCTGTATCGGCCACTTCCGTCGCTGGGAGCCCCCTTTACGCGCGCGTGCTAGCCCCACCCGCCATTGCCGCTTCTCCTCGCGCATCTGCTGCCGCGGCTCCCCGCCATCGCGGAACGATTTTGTCACTTCATCGTCGTCTATAGTCGGTTTTCCGCCGTCGACGCTCCGGTCGTCGTCTACTGTCTCTGGTCGCCGTCTACTGTCTCTGGTCGTAGTCCGTCGCTCCCTCATTGCCGTACATCGCGCTGTGTCGTTGCTTGTCTGTCGCTCAGACGCAATAGCGCTTGCGGCACTACCGGACGCTCGAAACGTCCTTCGATTGCCAATGTAGTTTCGCCGCTGTAAATTATGACGTCGCTCAACAAATCCCAGGCTTGCGCCTCCTGTTTGGCCACCCGCCATTGTTGCTGCTCCTCGCGCCTCTGCTGTTGCGGCCCTCTGCCATCGCGAATCGGCTATTCATCCCAAAAAATTCCGCTCGAGATACAATGTAGTCACCCTGTGGCTGCATGCGAGATCCGATGCACCCACAATGCCTCCGACTACACTGTACTTCTAGGTTCTGCTACAAACATTTTACTTCGAATCTGATAGGGGGTGACAATAGGGTAACCACGTAGTAGCTACTGTTAAACTGTATTATGCTTGTAGGCTGTAGTGGGGTAGCCAATATGGGGTACAACCCCAACTAGGGTTTCATATTTGTACCCAAACTTCTGTTAGTTCATTCATTCTTGCCTAGTGATTCTGATATGGTATTCAGAGCAGGAGGTCCCTAGGACCTACCGATCGTTTTTTTTTAGGGCCCACCACCGCTCGCATGCGGTTACCACGCTACCCCGTGCCCTAGCCTCGTAGCGCCCTCGTGCGCCCTCGTTAGCGCCCTCGCGCGCACCCTCGTTAGCGCCCTCGCGCGCACCCACGTTAGCGCCCTCGCGCGCCCCTTCGTTAGCGCCCTCGCGCGCCCCTTTGTTAGCGCCCTCGCGCGCCCCTTGCTAGCGCCCTCGCGCGCCCCTCACTAGCGCCCTCGCGCGCCCCTCACTAGCGCCCTCGCGCGCCCCTCGCCGAGCCGCCCGCTCGCAGCCCGCCCGCCCGCTCGCTGCCCGCTTCGCGGCCCGCTCGCTACGCAGCCCGCCCGCCCGCTCGCTGCCCGCTTCGCGGCCCGCCCGCTTCGCAGCCCGCTCGCTCGCTGCCCGCTTCGCGGCCCGCCCGCTTCGCAGCCCGCTCGCTCGCTGCCCGCTTCGCGGCCCGCCACTTCGCAGCCCGCCCGCCCGCTCGCTGCCCGCTTCGCGGCCCGCCCGCATCGCAGCCCGCTCGCCCCGCTGCCCGCTTCGCAGACCGCCCGCCCGCCCGCTGCCCGCTTTGCGGCCCGCCCGCCTCGCAGCGTCGCCCGCCCGCCGTGCTGCCCGCTTGCAGCGCCGCCTGCCCGCCGCGCTGCCCGCTTCCCGGCCCGTCCGCCGCGCTGCCCGCTCGCAGCGTCGCCCTCCCGTCGCACTGACCGCTTGCAGCGCCGCCTGCCCGTAGCGCCAGCCTCGCCCGCTGCTCTCTATCCGTGCACAGTCGCCTTCCCCTGCTGCGGCAGCTTGCGTTACTCTGTCACACTGTCGCTATGGCTTCCATTCGCGTGCTGTCGTTCGATGCTGAGGGCCGCCCTGTGCGTTTCACCGCTTGGCTAGATGACCTGCAGCTGTTTCTCCTGAGCGATAGCAAGGAGCATGTGTCGCTCTATGACTACGCGTCTGGTGCTGCGCCTGCCCCTCCTGCCACAGCTGAGCTTAGTGTTCGTTCCCACTGGCAGACTCGTGACGCAGCTGCTCGCCTAGCCATTCGCAGTCACCTGCCGTTAGCTGAGCTAGAGCATTTTGGCGACTGCAAATCCGCTAAGGCCCTGTACGACGCTGTCGTCGCTCGCTACTCCTCGCCTGCCACAGCCGAGCTTAGCCGCCTCATGCTGCCGTACCTGTTCCCCGATCTGTCCACCTTTACTACAGTCGCCGATCTTATCACCCACCTTCGCACTAGTGATGCTCGCCTGCGTGCCGCCCTTCCCACCGAGTTCTGCGCTAAGAACCCCCCTCCACTGTACTGGACACTCCACTTCATAGTCACCCATCTCCCTGACACCCTCCGCTCAGTTCGAGACCACTTCCTTGCTCGCTGTCCCACTGAGCTCACAGTCGCCCTCCTAGAGGAGCACCTGCTCGCGGCCGAAAAGAGCATTGTAGCTGTCGGTGCTGCTCGTGGCGCTCCTCGCACCCCCATCTTTGAGGGGTGTTCTCCCTCTCCCCTCGCTCCCTCCTACGCTGCTGCTGCTGCTGTTGACTTCCTTGGTGCTGAGTCTGTTGGCGCTGCTTCTGCTCCTAGTGGGAGGCGCCGCACCGGCAAGGGCAAGGGGGGCAAAAGTGGTGGTGGTGGCGCTGGTGGGGGAGGAGGTGGGGGAGGTGGGGGGGGAGGCGGTGCTGGAGGGAGCGGTGGCGGGAGCGCTGGTGGGAGTGGGGTCGGTGGTGGAGACGGGGGCGGCGGAGGGAGCAGTGGCAGTAGTGGCGGCGGCGGCGGTGGCGGCGGTGGCGGTGGTGGCGGTGGTGGCGGTGGTGGCGGTGGCGGTCGGAGCGGTGGTAGTGGTGGCGGCGGAGGTCGGAGTGGAGGCACTGGCTCTGGCCAGAGCTCCCAGCAGCAGCAGCGTCCCCAGACGACCCAGCAGCTTCGTGAGTGGCTTGCTCAGCGTGGGACGTCGGGGGCCAGTGCCCGCTGTTCTTATGTCATTCGCACAGGTGACCGCAAGGGACAGACGTGTGGGAGGTTCCACACCCCGTACCGCTGCTTCTCCCGCCTTGACGACGCTTGGCGTGAGGAGATGGGTGCGGATGTTGAGCGCCCCCGCTGGGCTGAGCTCATGAGGGCTGGTGTTGATGTCTTTGCTCTTGACTATGATGCTATTATTGCTGCCATGTATGCATTGACTGTTAGTGCCGAGGGAGACTGTTACTTGTGTGTGCCGCCTGACCCAGGTATAGAGCCCGCTGCCCTGGGTACTAGTGAGTCTGCTCTCTCTGGTATGGTGCCCCCTGTACTTGCTCCCCCCAGTGCTGTCCCGGCTGGTTTCGAGTCTGCTCTCTCAGGTACCGCACTGGCTGAGGCCTGTCACACCTTCACCCTTGACTCAGGTGCTTCCCGTTGCTTCTTTCGTGACAGTACTGAGCTCACACCGCTTCCTGCACCGGTCCCAGTCTCCTTGGCTGACCCCTCTGGGGGCCCAGTCCTTGCCCAGTCCACCACTGTCCTCCCTTGTCCGGCGGTTCCGTCTGGCTCGTTGTCGGGTTTCCACCTCCCCTCGTTCTCGACGAACCTGGTGAGCAACGCTGTCCTCCAGGATCAGTGGGTTGACACCTTTACCCCTGGCGGACAGCGTGTGGCGATCTGCACGTGCTCCAGGACCGGCCGTCACCTGGCTACGTTCACCCGTCGGCCGGGGTCGAGTCTCTACACACTGACCACTGCGTCTCCCCAGGTAGCTGCTGTCGGTCAGGTGTCTGCGTCAGGTCTGGTGGCCCACGCCTGTGAGTGTCGTTCCCTGTCGCACCAGACTCTTCTCTGGCACCACCGCCTGGGTCACCCCTCCTTGCCACGCCTTCGTGGCATGCACCGTCGCCTCCTTGTGTCCGGTCTTCCCAGGTCCCTCCCTCCCCTCCCTGCCTCGCCTGCGCCGCCTTGCCTTCCTTGCGTCGAGGGGCGGCAGCGCGCCGCTCCTCACTCCTCCTCGTTCCCCCCGACAGAGGCTCCTCTGGAGACCCTCCACCTGGACGTGTGGGGCCCAGCCCGCGTTCGTGGTCAGGGCGGTGAGCGGTATTTTTTGCTGGTTGTCGACGACTACTCGCGTTACACCACGGTCTTCCCCTTGCGCACCAAGGGTGAAGTCCCTGCTGTTCTGATCCCTTGGATCCGCATGGTTCGTCTCCAGCTCCGCCGCCGTTTCCGGACGGATCTTCCTGTCCTGCGTCTGCACTCTGACAGAGGTGGTGAGTTTTCCTCCGACCTCTTGAGGACCTTCTGTCAGGCGGAGGGCATCGAGCAGACCTTCACGCTTCCGGACTCCCCACAGCAGAATGGGGTTGCTGAGCGTCGCATTGGCCTGGTCATGGAGGTCGCTCGTACCTCCTTGGTCCACGCGGCGGCTCCCCATTTTCTGTGGCCGTTTGCTGTCCGGTACGCCGCGCATCAGCTCAACCTCTGGCCCCGTGTCTCCTTGCCGGAGACCTCGCCCACACTGCGTTGGACGGGGGAGGTTGGCGATGCGTCGCGCTTCCGGGTGTGGGGTGCTCGTGCCCTTGTCCGCGATACGTCTGCGGACAAGCTCTCCTCCCGCACGCTTCCCTGTGTCTTCCTTGGCTTTGTCCCTGACGCGCCTGGCTGGCAGTTTTACCACCCCACCTCGCGCCGGGTCTTCGCCTCTCAGGATGTCACCTTTGACGAGTCGGTCCCCTTTTACCGTCTCTTCCCCTACCGCACTGCCCCCCTCCCTCCCCCGCCGCTTTTCCTTGCTCCTGGTCCCCCTCCGGTAGACCCCCTTCCCCCTCAGGGTCCTGCTCCTTCAGGTGTCTCTCAGGTAGACCCTCCTCCCGTCGCTGAGCCTGTCGAGGTCACAGGTGACTCAGGTGCTGCTGCGGGTGGTGCTGCTGGGAGTGCTGAGCCTGGGGGTGCTGAGCCTGGGGGTGCTGGGCCTGGGGGTGCTGGGGCTGCAGGTGCTGGGACTGAGGGTGCTGGAGCTGAGGGTACGGTGCCTGAGAGTACGGAGCCTGGGGGTGCTGCGCCTGGGGGTGCTGAGCCTGCGGGTGCGAGGCCTGGGAGTGCTGGGACTGCGGGTGCTGGGGCTGAGGGTACTGTGCCTGAGAGTTTGCCGCCTGGGGGTGCTGAGCCTGGGGGTGCTGCGACTGGGGGTGCTGAGCCTGCGGGTACTGAGCCTGCGGGTACTGAGCCTGGGGGTGCTGCTACTGAGCCTACGGAGCCTCGGGTTACTGTGTCTGGGGGTGCTCCGGTTCGGGGTGCTGAGCAGTCTCTCACACCGCAGCAGCTTCGTGACTGGTACGTCCGACGCTTTCGCCGTCCTAGTGGCTCGGCTGGAGTTGGGGGTGCTGGAGTTGCTCGTCCTGGGGGTGCTCGTACTGGGGGTACTGGAGCTGCCGGGACTGGCTGTTCTGGGAGCGCTGCGACTGGAGCTGCTGGAGCTGGGGACTCTGGCGTTGGCGGTGCTAGCGGAGTTGGAGCTCCCGACTCTGGGGGTGGCGCTGCTGCTGGTGCTGCGGACCCACCTGGTGGAGCTGCTGCTGGTACTGAGGAGTCGGACGGTGGAGCTGCTACTGGTGCTGAGGACCCGGCCGCTGGAGTCCCTTCTGCTTCTAGAGACGCTGCGCGGCCGCGACCGTACTTCGTACCGCTCCTTCAGCAGGTTCTTGGGCAGGCTCCTCCTCCTTGTCCTCCTCCCTCCGTAGAGTGTCCTCCGCCTGTCCAGCCGCAGTCACAGTTACCGCCTGCCTCGCCTCTCCCTGCTCCCTCTCCTTATACTGGTCCCACAGGAGGTCTTACAGAGCGTCGTGAGCCTGAGTCTCGTCCTGCGTCGCCTGTTCGTCCTGCTCGCACTGGTAGTCGTGTCCGTCGTGAGCGTCCTCCGCCTGTCCCAGGCACTCACTACATGACTCTGCGTCCCTCTACTGCTCCTCGGCGTGTCCCTCTACCGTCTCCTCCTGCGTCCTCTTTGCCTGCCGTTCCGGACCCTGAGTCTGACCGGTATCGCGCTGAGCACCCTACAGTCACGCGTCTCCTTGCTACTGTTGTCACTGACCCCACCTTTGAGTCCTCGGCTGCGTCTGCTCTGGTCGCTGAGTTGGTTGACTTTGCTGCTGCCTGTCGTCTAGACTACGCTGCTAGCCTTGTCGCTGAGTCAGAGTCTGCGTCAGTCTGTCCTCCGTCCGTCGGGGGTGAGTGTGCTCTTGGCACGGACGTCCTTGAGGACAGGCAGGAGGACTTTGACTCACTTGCGGCTGCTGTACCTCATCTCGTGGCCTGGTTGCTTGCCCCTGAGGGAGACCCGGATGCAGTAGACATCCCCACTCCGCGCACCTACGCAGAGGCGATCTCGGGTCCCTACTCCTCTCAGTGGCAGACAGCCATGGACGCAGAGATGGCATCCTGGAAGTCCACAGGCACCTACGTCGACGAGGTTCCCCCTCCTGGGGCGAACATCGTCGATGGCATGTGGATTTTCAGGGTGAAGCGGCCGCCAGGTTCTCCGCCTGTCTTCAAGGCTCGTTACGTTGCTAGAGGCTTCAGTCAGCGTCAGGGGGTCGACTTCTTCCAGACCTTCTCCCCCACCCCGAAGATGACCACTCTTCGGGTTCTGCTGCACGTTGCTGCTCAGCGTGACTACGAGCTTCACTATCTTGACTTCAGCACAGCGTTCCTGCAGGGCAGCCTGCACGAGGAGATCTGGCTGCGCCGCCCACCTGGCTTTACTGGGTCGTTTCCCCCTGGTACCCAGTGGAGTCTCCGCCGGCCAGTCTACGGTCTCCGCCAGGCGCCACGTGAGTGGCACGACACACTGAGGACTACTCTTGCGGCTCTTGGGTTCGCGCCGTCTACTGCTGACCCGTCGCTGTTTCTGCGCACAGACACGTCGCTGCCGCCGTTCTACATCCTCGTGTACGTCGACGACTTGGTCTTTGCTACTGCTGACACTGAGGCACTCGCTCGTGTGAAGTCGGAGCTGCAGAAGAGACACACCTGCACTGACCTGGGTGAACTGCGTAGCTACCTTGGCTTGCAGATCACCCGGGACAGAGCTCGCCGCACCATCACCCTGACTCAGTCACACATGGTGCAGCAGGTCCTTCAGCGCTTCGGCTTCCAGTTCTCCTCACCACAGGCCACACCTCTGGCTACCAGCCACTCGCTCTCAGCTCCACCTTCGGACGAGTCCGTAGAGCCGAGTGGCCCGTACCCAGAGCTTGTAGGCTGCCTCATGTACCTGATGACTTGCACGCGACCTGACCTCGCGTACCCTCTTAGCATCCTTGCTTGTTACGTTGCGCCTGGGAGACACAGGCGAGAGCACTGGGAGGCTGAGGGTGCTGCGTTACCTGTGCAGTACATCAGGCATGGGGCTGGTGCTTGGAGGACGCGACAGAGTTGTCCTCACTGGTCACTCGGACGCCTCTTGGGTGGACGACCTGGCTACGCAGCGGTCGTCACAGGGTTACACCTTCAGCCTTGGCTCAGGTTCTGTCTCGTGGCGGTCCACCCGCTCTTCCTCTGTTCTCGGCTCTAGTTGTGAGGCTGAGATCTACGCCACAGCCATGGCTGCACAGGAGTTACGCTGGCTCACCTACCTGCTGACTGACTTGGGAGAGCGGCCTAGTTCTCCTCCAGTTCTGTACGGTGACAACAAGGCGGCTCTTGCCTTGTGTCAGGAGCACAGACTGGAGCACAGGACGAAGCACATTGCTCTTCGCTACTTTCTTGCTCGAGAGCTTCAGCAGCGCGGTCAGCTTCGGCTTGTGTACGTGGACTCGAAGGCCAACACTGCTGATATCTTCACCAAGGCGCTCCCGCCTAGTGATCATCAGCGGCACTGTACTTCTTTAGGCCTTGTGTCCACGTTTCCTCACTTGCTCACTGCTTGACATTCTTTGTACTGTACTTTATATATATCTTGTTGCTTGCTTGCTAGGTTTTGATCACTGTGTTGCTTGTCTTGTACTATATCTAGCACTGCATGTGAACTGGCCTTGTGGCCTTTACTTGTGCTCGGAGTGTGGTGACGTTGTGATCCACCCTGGGCTTTGTTTTGCTTTGCTGGACTGGTCTTGTGACCCCTTTTTCTCCCCCACTTTGCCTATGGGGGTGTGTTAAACTGTATTATGCTTGTAGGCTGTAGTGGGGTAGCCAATATGGGGTACAACCCCAACTAGGGTTTCATATTTGTACCCAAACTTCTGTTAGTTCATTCATTCTTGCCTAGTGATTCTGATAGCTACATCCAATACAATTATAGTAACCATTTTGTAGCCAATCTATATTTACTTCGAAGCCAATCCCTAGCCAAGCATGCAGTAAGTACATAGTAATTGCAATTTGCTCACTGCAAATTCTGGCACCGTGTAATATTCCTAGCATTCTTTTACCGATTCCTGCTTACGAAATGATATGTTATAAGGAAATGAAATACAAAAATTGTATAGAACGTTACAAATACACACTGAAAATCCACTAAAAAAACTTAGTAAACGCTATGGAAGAATAATCTTCACGTAGAGTGGTCCTACTAAGTGACCAAATCTGTAAGCAACAAACGATACATATTTTCCTGCAGAGTAAAGGTCAGAAATCATCATTTCAGAGCGCCAGGTACTTACCCGTGTTCAGCAACCACTTCCCCGAACATATCACGGTCGAACTTAAGCAACTGATAATAGATTATAATAACAGCACATTCTGCAAGGTCCAACTTTTAGCCTGCAAAATCGCACAGCTTAAATGAACCGTTAGTGTTAGGACAAAAGACAGAGTAAGGTTGAAGCTTTATCCTGCAAAATCGCACAGACGACAGACAGGCGCCACCAACACATACAATACCCGTTAGTGTAAGGAAAACAAGTAACAAATACAGTGCTTAATGTAGTAACAACGGTGCCACCGAAGGCAAAGAGCAGCGAGTCCGCTGTTGATGGCCTTGTCCGCCATCTCCCTGCCCAGCTACCCGTACGCTCGAAAGCTCCGCACCGCGCCAAATGTGCGCGCCACGTCGCGCAGCCGACGCACGAGCACAGCGCAGTTGGCACCGACGGGCACGGGGCAGTTCTTGCAATCCCAGAATACGACCACACTGGGCGAGCATGTTGCGGACCACGATTCCAGCTGAAACAAGTGTGACGGCAGCGGGGGGTGTGAGGGTCAGGTGCTGGAGTGGGGAACGGAGGCGGGTGGGGTAGGAGAGGGGTGGGAAGGATGGTTAAGGCTGGCGGTAGCAAGGGTTTCTGGTGGGAGGGTTCTACTCTAAGCAAGAGAGCTAACTGGAAGATAAGAAATGAAAGGAGGAACTGAAAGTTGGGATGGGATGTACTGAATTATGTGTGTGGACTCCGCCGAAATCTGGGCTTGAGCCAATCGAAAACTACGTAGCAAAAACTTTTTGTGCATCTCTCGATCGTGGCCGATGAATGACAGATCAATCGACGGTTCTAACCAGGTCACATCTGAAGGCGATCGTAGCCATCCAACTTGAGATAGATCGACAGTTGAAATGTTTATGCTAGCCATAAGAAATCAGCACTACTTAGATCGACGGTTGTAATTCCAACCCCAGTGTAAGCATTTTTTATTTGACAGCAGAGATATTGACCACCCAGTAAAATACAGATAGACGGTTTCGATTCGTTTTTCTTCCAGAACTACAACTGATCTTAACCGTTCAGGGCGTACTTGATCGACGGGTAACAATCCAACCTGCAAAAAAAACGCTACAGTTCTCACCAGTGCGCAAAGACTCGATCTGAACTGTCCATTTATAGGATCGACGGTTCTTGATTTTTCGTAGCTTATGGTGCGTAAACACGACAGCGTATATTATTGTAATTGGCTGAGAGTATTTTTTGTTCTGTCGTTCTCACTAAACGTTACCAATTGTGTCTGTTAGAATCTAGCAGCAGGAATGGTTGAACTAGCAGCATGCAGGAGTACAAGTAGTAAACCCTAATTTGGGTTGTACCCCATATGGGCTACCCCACTACAGCCTAGACAATATGCAGCATATGTTTGACACACCCCCATAGGCAAAGTGGGGGAGAACAAGGGGTCACACGACCAGTCAAGAGAAACAAAGCAAGCTCAGGGTGGATCACAACGTCACCACACACTCTTAGCACAAGCAAAGGGCCACAAGGCCAGTTCACATGCAGAGATATATATATGCAGCAATAACAGTACAGTGATGACTACCTAGCAGAAGCAGGCATGCAAGTATATATATAGATCACCGTACAAGCAAAGACTACAACAAGTGTGGAAACGTAGGCACAAGGCCTAACAGGGTACAAAAGCGCTGATGATCACCAGACGGAAGTGCCTTGGTGAATATATCAGCAGTGTTGGCCCGAATGGCCACGTGACGAAGCCGAAGCTGACCTCGCTGCTGCAACTCTCGAGCCAGGAAGTAACGCAGAGCGATGTGCTTCGTTCTGTGCTCCAGTCTATGCTCCTCACACAAGGCAATGGCGGCCTTGTTGTCGACGTACAGCACTGGAGGAGAACGAGGCTGCTCTCCCAAGTCAGTCAGCAGGTAGGTGAGCCAGCGTAACTCCTGTGCAGCCATGGCTGTGGCGTAGATCTCAGCCTCACAACTGGAGCTGAGAACTGAAGACGAGCGTGTAGAACGCCACGAAACTGAACCAGAGCCAAGGCTGAAGGTGTAACCCTGTGACGACCGCTGAGTAGCCTGGTCGTCAACCCAAGAAGCGTCTGAGTGCCCAGTGAGGACAACTGGGCTCGTCCCTCCAAGCACTAGCCCCATGCCTGATGTGCTGCACAAGTAGCGCAGTACCCTC